AAGCCAACTTTCCTTCATTCATTCAATCCCTTATTGTGTCAAGGGATGCAAGAGGGCTGCTCCACAAGGGAAAGTGTGCTAGGGGAACAGCAAGACAGGCACAAGGCAGTACCCTCACCAACAAATGGCACAGTCCCACCATACAAGCCCCACCCAAGAAGATGAGAAAAGCAGGCCTGGTAACAGTAATCTGTGGTCAATGTTTTTTACATTTTACCTATTTAGTATATTTCAAATAATAAGGGAGCTCCAAAGACATTAACTATAGGAGATAACAATAAACTTCTTTCCAATTAGTGTTTTGTAACATTTCCCAATTCTTTTTACAGTAACTTTTGTATGAACATGACCACAAAAAGCATTGAAGAAACAGGTCAGCTAAAAACTGATTCAGTGTGATCTCCCCATCTGTTTGGTACCATTACTGACATAACAAGAACTCAGACCTCAACCCTTCTCCCCTCAAAGTTAATGCATGAATTATCTAACAGTAAAATCAGAAACTAAGTTTTGTGCTTTTCAAAAGAATTATTGCTTCCTAAAAATAAATACCAGGTAGACTTTAAAAATAGGTTTTATTTAGTAATTGAAAAAATATACATTGAACTGGATATTTGGAAATAAATCCTACATTACTAAAATATCTTAAGAAGCATTATTTGAAAGATAAACTGATAGGTGACTGTAAAAGCCTAGCCCTGTTGCACTTCACAGTTTAGCTTTAACTGTAATAAGCACACAGGAGGTTATTAGTTTTTAAGTAACTGATTTGTATTTCATAAATATAGGTCATTATTAATTCATTAGCACCTCAATCAAAAGTTTAGGTTATTTACAAAGGTTATTTATCAAAGGTTATTTACAAAGAAACATGGGATCTATGCAATATCGTAAAATCAAAGTGCTTCTGAGGCTGTGCAGTGCTCAATGCTAAAACCAATGTAAACAAGTCAAAATAGTACAGATTAAGTTCATAAATTACCAAATTCTGTAGCATACGGAATACACGCAAAACACATCAACAAAAGCACGAATGTGACTGCAAATTGATAAATAAACAATAGATAAATAGTAAAATCTCCATAAAATGGTAAATTATTGTCTCCATTTTGAAAAATAGAGGCAAGCATTGCTAACAGCTAGGACAAACTAGCCAGTTTCAAACATATTTTATTTATGTAAAATATTAAATCTCTCCTGAGATCTGTTTATGCATTAAAAGGCTTACATTATTTATCTTGTGGTGATTTTTATTCCTCCAACATAGATTAGCATCCTCTTGCTTCCACAACACTATAATTAAAAGCCTTCCTCTGATTTCAGCAGTACAGTGTTATTCTTTAGCCAGAGCCAGCTTTAAGCAGACATGAAAACACACAAAAAATTTAAGGCAACCTCATAAAATCCGAGTCCAGTCATTCCAACAAGATTGCCTTTGCTCCAATCGTAAAAACTACTTTAAACTAAGTACTGATTTTCATTCTTTGCGACTCCTTCCTCCACTGACTCTGTTACCCACAGCTCAGTTACAATTTTGAATTTTTTCCCAAATGTTCTCCTGAGTGCTTTCATCTCTTTTACCCGGGAATGATCTTCTCCTATAACAACATGGGAGACACCATCTTCAAGGTGAGAGACTACTTTTGCACCATAAAAACGGAGCTCCAAAGCTCTAATTGATAGTGTTATTCCAGGGATTTTGCTTTTAGGGTCATTAACAACAGCATAACAGTCCACATAAATAGTGTTTCCTCTGAATATACTGAGCTGACAACTGTTCCATGAATAACGTTCTTCTATCTCTGCAATTACGTCCAAAGGCATTGCTTTATTGTTTTTCACTCTTGAGAACACTTCCTTGAGCTGTGCAACATCTGTGTTTGCTGTGTAGCTGTCTCCATAACAATCGTACTCACGAGCAAAATGTTCTTTTGTGTCAGGAGACATATGAATCATAAAGGCTGGTTGCCAAGGCACCAGCATTTTGGTTTGAAAACACTGAAGGAGCCACTCTGCCCTCACCACATCGTATTTGTTGGAAGCAATGATGTTTCTCACTCTGACATTCTCAGCTCCTGCAATGACACAGTAAGTATCCGGCCCCGGGTTCTGTACCACACTGCCACCACATTCGGCTATTCTGCTTTCCAGCTCAGACTTTGTGTATTTCCCTGTTCCTGTCATAACACAAAACTCAACATCTTCAAATACATTTGAAACCTTGTTTACACTAGAAAGATCAGGAGCTTTAAATTGCTCAGCTATTCCAATTACTTTCCTCACCTTTGAAACAGTTTTCCTTTTTTTCTCATGTGGCTCATCATACTCATCTATATGAAGGTGCTTAGATGCCAGTTTCCCTTCTGCTTTGCTTCTGAGATCTTCTAACATGTCTGAAGTCATGCACTCATACCATTCTTTGTCCTCTCTTATCTTCTCGATTCGGGGGAATCTCAAAGTACAGTCAGTTTTGTACATATCACTGTCAACAATTTCGGCTGCCTTGATCTGAACTATGACAGAGTTGCAAGGTTCAATGTACATTTCAGGTTTTTCAGTTCCACACAAAATGTTGCAGGGAGGGTCCTTCCTATGGTAGGGCTTCCAGTATTTAGCCAGTTTCAAGCCTAGATCATACAACTCCTTCATAGTATAGCCAGAGCCAACACGACAAATTGAGTGGAAAATGGTTGGTTTTTCATTTGGAGGGGGCGTCTCTGCAATAGCGCACAGAAAATGAGACATCATCCCACCACGTGACCCCTTCCCCCAGTAACCACCAACAATTAAAAGGTCTAGCTCATCCATCAGTCCATTGACGTATTCTGGCTTGATTTTTAACCAGCCTTCCCCGCGTTTGTCAGGTTTGTAGGTGGACATGGGATCTTTCACCATAATCCCTTCCTCTCTGTTATCTATTGCTTCATTTAAAGCATCAATTACTTCTTTTCTTGTTCTGGCACTTTTCTTATTTACAATATGAATCCTGCCCTTTACCGGGGTAAATACGCTACTTAAGATTTCATATCTTTTGCTTAGTACTTCGTGCCCCAACTTCTGATCATTAACCATCAACACGTCGAACACACAGAAGCAGGTCTGCAGATCAGAGTCCTCCACCATTCTTTTTATGTCAAATTTGTTTCCTTTTTGCATAAAGGTTTGCGTCTCAGGATTGTAAGCCATCATTTCACCATCGAGAATGCAATTTTGTATATTGCTTTTAAATACATTATGAATAAATGGCGTTAATGAACCTTCAAGGGGTGAAGCACCAAACTGCTGAGTATAGTCAAACCCATTTCGGGAAAAATATTTATACACATCCCCATCTTTGTGCATCTGCATACGCTCACCATCCAGCTTAGTTTCTATGTAGAATATCTGGTTATTCATTTGTTTCTCAATTTGCTGGACATCTGCAATGGCAGCAAGCATTGGTTTAAAGGCAGAAAACAACATGATAGAAACATCACTAAGTGAGACAGAGGGATCATGCAGCTGTATACAAACTTTTTCCAAATCAGTTGTGACATTGTGTAATTCAGCAGCATCAGGATGAAAAATGGAAAATATAGTTTGTTGACTAACGCCAAGCTTTAGATCCTTTATAATCATCCGGATAAGCCATTTTTGTTCCAGTGCTGTGCTCTGGGTAATTAACTGAAGAAGGCTTTTCTTTAACTGACCCTTGTTTTTCGCAGCATTATTACTAGCTATCGCATCTAAGTGTTCATTGACTTGTTCTATTGTCAGTCTGCCTTGTTTTGGGCTCCTAGGTTTCAGCACAAAGTATGCGATCATTGCAAAATCTCCAGCGTCTCCACGTGAGCCTGTAGGTGTTCTGTAATTTAAAAGCTTTGCAGCGTCTTTTCCATCTTTTGGTAAATGAAGCAGTTCAATATACAGTTTTGCAAGCATAGTTTCTTTAATTCCATATGCCATCCTTTCTCTTTCCAGCTGTGGAAGAATAAGCCGCATAGCTGGGTAAAAGGAATCTGTGACGTCTTTCTCTTTTTGGTGAAGTGCATCATGGAATTTCCTCCAGGAGTCCAGAAAATCCTTAAAATACTTGGTCTTCTCCGGACGAGATTTACACTTCTGTATTCGCTCCAGAGTAGCGCACAGATCTGCGAAAGGCACGTGAGAGGCCACTGTTTTTTTAGGAGGCTGCGACACAGGTGCGAAAGCCATCAGTCTGCTTTTCATCAAGAACAAAAAAAGGTATATATTTTTAGAGAAAACACCAGCACGTTATTCCAAAAAAACCCCCATCTGTAACTACTATTTACCTTTATTTCTCCTTTTTCGAACTAAGATTTAACCGTTATCTTTCTTAAAGGTCATCAGCTGGTACCACTGTCCTTAGTTAAGGGTCACACTCAGCAGTGGGGCTGCGACACTGAAACACCGGCATCACCTACACAGAGGACTGACTGATTGCAAGGCAGGAGAAGGCAGCGCGCTCCCCTCCCGTTGGTGCCCAGGCAGGAGCTGTCCCTGCTCGGAGAACGATTTCCTCCTCCGCCCCGCCCGGGAACGCAGCCTGCCCCCGACACCGCCCGCCCTCGGCCCCTGTCAACCGGCCGCTCCCCGCGCTCCGAGGGAGCGGTGTCCAACGGGGCCGGCACCGCTCCCGGTGCTCCTCCCGCGGAGAGAGACCCCACTCACCCAACCATCCCACATCCCTGTGCCACATCCCCCTGCCACGGTCACGGCGGGGGAGCGGACACCTCCCGGGGAGGGGCACCTCCTGCTCAGCACGAGAGGAGACTGCGGGGGCGATGGAGGCGCAGCCACCCCGGGCGAGACTTACGTGGAGCCGAGGATACCTGCAGTGAAGGGCTGACACCAGCTACCCCCGCCCCGGAAGAGGAAGAGCGGCCCGCTGATGCCGCGGTCCGCGCTCCTCCCCCGGGCCGGGGCGGGGAAGCGCTGGCGGATCCCCCGGTGCGGGAAGGCGGGGAGAGAAGGGAGAACGGCCGGGCGGTGACCTGGAAGCGGAACCGCGGCTGCGGCGGCTTCCTGCCTCGGGAGGAAGGAGCCGCGGTTGAAGTTGCGCGTCGGGGTCTGCGCTGGCCCGAGGCACCGGCGGCGGCCGCCCGGGAGGATGCGGCGGGTGGGTCTGGCCGCCCTGGGGCCGGTCCCGCCCCGCGGGGGGAGCGCTGGGCACGGGGAGGTGGCGGCCGGCCCCGGCCCCGGGAGGCCGCGGCGGGGCGGGCGGGAGCCGGGGCGGCGGGGGCGGCCGGCAGGTCTGGTTGTCACTTTGGTGTTGGGGGTCTGTCCGTGCATAAACGCGGCTTTTTCCTGGGAGCGGCTGGCAGGCCGGTTCTGTCCCCGCGAGTGCGCGGCTCCTGTGCCGGCCTTTCGGGACGTGGCTCCCGAGGAGCTGCCGCGTTGGCAGCGCCGTCAGAAGTTCCTGCAGGTGCCTTCCTGCGGAGCCCCGGGAGATCTTTAGCTTCCTCGTAGCAAGGTCTTGGTCTACTGTTTCGTTTGTCTCCGCTGCCGTAGGGAACAATTCCTGCAAATGGGGATGCTTGTAGGAGGTGGGGCTGATGATGATAACTTTAATGTTCTTACTGTGCCAAGTGACTGTATTGGCAAGGCTGAAACAGGTGGTTGTCTTAGGTAAAAAACAAAATAATTTAACATGCTTGTGAAGTAATATGTTTTAGAAGCCTATACTCACTGGAAGACTAAGGTTCTAAGATAGCCAGCCTTGGTTAGTTATTGTTTTGGCGGTTTTTTACCCAGTATCATCATTATTCAAGACATGCCTCTAAGGTTCATTAAGACTTGTCGATTGTAAAAGGAGGTGTAATAAGAGTTAAGAGGAAAACACTTTCAGTTATGAACGTGTACAGTCTGATGCAGAGTTGTGAAAATTCCCTGTTTGAACTAAGTAGGACAAGTGGTTTGTTGATTTTAAAAGCCAGAGCCCTTAAATGTGTTATTCTTGCTGTGCTTTTTCCTTTGTTAGGAGTCACTGCTTTGCTGTCATTTTTCCTTTTTCTCTTTTCCTTTCTCTCCGTAGTACTAAGGAAGTGTATTTTTCCTGTCTTGTGGGTTTGTAGATTGTAGCTTGTAAATTTTCTGTTGGATCAGTTCCCATCTGAAACTAATTTTTTACAGCTGAGGACTTAATATTTCTGTTTACAGGAGTCTTCTGAATAAGTATGAGTAAATGTAAAGCTTGAGCAAATCTTATCTGTGTCTGGAGCAGGTAGAGTCTAGGAGAAGGAAGTGTAGTAAAAACCAACAGATGTCTTTAGGTATTTCTTAAAAACACAGAGAAATAATCTGATTTTGTTTGTTTATTTTAAAACACAAAAGATTGCAGTGAGTGCTAAGACTTAACTCTTAAATGAGGAAGCAGCCATTAAACACCTGATTGTGCTTCTTAGCACTAACTTTAAGGCTGCTCATACACTAAAAATTAGTTTGAAGGAGACAATGTAAATCTAGCATAACTTCATTTTTATGCAATTTTTATATTATATGTGTACTGTGTGTACAGTCCAGGACATTTTGATGTGATTGTTGAACTTCATTGTAAAATGTTTTCAAGTTCATCACATGTTTCAAACAAGTGTTCAGCTTAATAGGTGAAGCATGAATATGAAATGCGTAATTTCATCATTAAAGTAGTTGTAGTTCTAGGGGGTTTGGCTGTTAGCACTTCTTAATTTTCTTATGAGTAACTGAAGGCAAACAGTAAATTATGTGTGTAATTCAAAAGCAATTTCACTCAATTCATAAATGGAGTTGTCTTTCAGGCAGAGATGAAACCTGGGAAATCATCACATCTAAAGGTAAATGCTTTATAATGTGATTGGTGTATGAAAATGGCACTTTTAATATTAAAAATATGGACAAAGACAAAACAACAGAATTCGCGACAGATACAAGAGTAATTTCAGCTGCTGTTCAAAATGAATGAAAAATTGTTCACAAGTACTCTAAGTATGCACTTGAGTTTTCATGATTTTTCAGTCAATAATGGCATTAACCAATTAAGAATAGCATTAGAGCAAAGCAGAATATCGTTAAAGTACCTTGATCATAAAGACTTTATTTTTTTATTTTTATTGCTGTGAGTGATTTGTGTTTTCGGTAGCTACCTAATTATGAGATTTGTAGCTCGTCTGATAGAACATACAGGTCTGCAATAGCTCCTCGACTGTGGATTCAGCAGTGGAGATACTGAAGTGTATATACAGGTGTGTGTGTGTATATCAGCATAGTGTATATCCCTCTGACATAAAAGTGAAACTCATCACTTGCAAATTTCCTTTCTCTTTTGAGGGGCAATACAGTTTATGTGGCAGTGTAAACTGAACTAGTCTTTAAGCCAAAGGTACAGCAGCAGTCTGGCTAAGTCTTACTTTCATTAGGTCAAGGTTGAATTAGGCTGGATTGCTGTTCTTGCGTGTTAATGATTTCCACAGTAGAACTTTATATTTCAGTACTGTCTTCTGCTTGTCTTTGAAGTATGCAAGCATCATCAAAGAAATACTTGTAGGAAGCATCAGGATTCCCAAAGGCTAGCCTTTCTAATGCACATTATCAGAGGGACAGGAGAAAATGTGAAGCACGTGCATTCTAGAGGAAAGACCTCTAATCATATTTGGGAATGAGAAAACTGAGAGAAGAAATTATGAGAAGAAAGCAGAGGAACTGAGTTTACATAGTCTGGAGGAAATGAAGGTAGATTACGTATTTGGAGGTTAATGAACCTTGAACTCAAAGTGAAGAATTTAAGTAATAAGTCTCTCTTCTTTTTAAGTGTATTAAGAAATATTTTCCAGTAGTAAGAGTAGCGTAGAACAAGAACAGCATATGTAGGAATTAATGTTAACGTAAGAGTTACTTAGGAAAACATCTACCAGATAGAACTGTATGGTTCTGGTGTTGTTGACTATATTTGTCACAGACATTGACTTTCATGACAAGTTTAAAAAAAAATGCCCTTATGCTTGTTTACATAGCCTCTAACTTAGTTTAAATAATCAGCAGTTATAAAATACTGTGAATGCTGTAAAATGGGATGTGACTCTTTGTTATAGGAAAACTTCTTGCAAAGTCATTTGCAGAGTTACAACAATTACTTGAAATACAGTACCGCAATGCAATGTTCCTTCAAAAAAAATTTTTAAAAATTTTTTTAGTGAACCAAGAATAAGTTCCAGGGAGTTAATGTTTTGTCTAGGAGATTTGGGAAGGAAACCTGTAGAGAAATCTTATTTCCCTGTATGATACAAAACTTCCACTACCCTGCCACTGGCCAACTAGCTGACTTCCCTTGGTTCCCATGTCTCCATCTGTAATACATGGGTGATGTTTCATGTTATCTCTTTAGAGAGCTGTAGAGGCAGTACAACTGAGATAATCCTGTTAAACAGCCATGAAAAAAAAAAAAACTAGTCATACTTGCATAAGGCAGAAATTGATTAAAAACTTCTCTTTTAGAAGACATAAAGGTGTGCCTGCTTCTTGGCATAACTGGAACATCAGACAGTTATGGAGCAAGTCCATGAGTGGTTCTTGTAGTCCAGGAAGAGAAGCAGTCTTGTCTAGAAAGAGGGACAGTTTTGCCCAGGTGATGTGTCTTCTCTGTTTCTTAGTTTAACCTGGTCAGACATCAAAGTCTAAATACATTGCTCTCCCTTTCCTATCCCCCTCTCACACCTTTCCCTGACTATTCTGTCCCCCTATTAGTTGCAAAAATTAGAGATACAGGAGAACTGTAACACATGCTCTTCATACATCAACACAGAGTTTTTGCATCATAAGATGTTACATTGTAAAGTGTTTGAAAGGTGTATAACTTCCCATCCAGCACAATACGAGTGGGAAATGAAGATCAAGAAGAGAATTTTTTTGTGTCTGTGTGTTGTCTTGCAGTATATTGAACAGTCTCAAATCTCATACACTTTGAACAGTCCTAAATCTCATACACTTCAAAAAGTGCTGACCTTATTGCTCATTGAAAATTACTATATTAGCTTACCCTTTTTATTTCTGTCCTTCAAGTGGAAATTTGGTTCTGTTTGTATCATGATCTGCTGTTCAGCTCAAATAAGACAGTGTTTGAAAGGTCTGTTGCATTGGGCTCCATAGAAAGCATGGATTGTAGCTTTATTGAGAATAAGGTTGTATTAGTTTGGTTTAGAGTCTCTTCTAGGCCTGTGCGTTTGAGAAACCATCTTTTGTCTCTCCAGTGATCTTTCAATTGGTATTGGAAGGAAGTGGGGAAGAACCTAGGAGAAACTTACAGCTTAGTTCTCTAGCTAACAAATCTTTCAGTAGGATGTGAAGTATGAGATATGGGCTGATTCAGGCCTGGAAATCAATGGAACTAGTGAAGCTTATCATAATGGGGAAGAAAACTTTAATGGTAATGTAGTTGTTCATTAGTGCAGAGTAGTCCACTTAGTTTAAATATGTACTGAGTGTGTAACATTTGTGGCCATGTAGTTTGCCCTTCCTGTTAACTACTGTGTTTTGAGTTCTAGTTGTAGGATGCATGGGTTTTAGAACTCCACTAGCAAAGTTTATATATATATATATGTATATATGTATATATCTCAGAAATAATCACACGGCAGCAGTATCTCAGTAGTATAACATTTTGATAATATTAGCCTACTAAAATAAAAATAGAAGCAGTGCACAAATGAAACTAAAATCAGCTGTATCTGTCTTCAAGCAACAGTCCTTAGTGTATATGGGAATTTTGCAAAGCTTCATCACCTTAAGCGAGATTTTTATTACTTCTTTGTCTTTTATTAGTTTTATGTGGGTTTAATCATGGGTCTTATACTCTTGTGAATGTCTTGATGAGAAAGCATTTTTGGAGTCTCTTTTTTAAGGAAGTCAGAAAAATTTTGATTAACATAATAGATGAGAATGGTTTTACTCTCTCATTGTCAATGTTCTTATAGTCTTGAAATGTAATGCAGGAAACATTTGCTACCTTCATTAGGAAGCTCTCTTGGAAATTGAAGTAGCTACTTTATATGTCTCCTAATTGCTGTGAGTTCTTTACTAGAGAAATGGATCACAAGAATTAAATTGTCTTATAGACAATATTTTGTGCATACTTGGATGTGGATGTTAAACATGAGCTTATAAATAATACAGGAGAACAAAGCTGGGATAACTGCTCTGTATTACTTTGTATTTCACCAGTTTTATGTACTTAGAGTAGATACATTATATAAAATCTTAATGACATGGTTTTGGTTAATATTTGAATCTTTAGATGTAACAGATTAGTTTTATTTTGGATTTATTTCTAATTATTGCATAAAATAGTTATGGATGGCAGTTTTTCCTGGTCAGATTGGGTGCTTAACATATCTGTGGAACACAAAAGCTGTGGCTGCAGAGGTCACTGGTTATCACTTGTTCCTACCAGGATGGCTGGTGCAGAATACTTGGATGCATCTCTGCATGTCAAACTCCTTTGGATTAAATTCAGATTCTTACTGCATTACATCATTTCAGGAGATTATAACTTTGTGTCTAAACTGTAATTATTATCTGCTCTATGACTCAGTTTTGTTAAACAAGTGAGCTTGTGTTGTCATTCCAGGCAGTGTGGCAACTGAGTGGTGTGCTGTAGTTCTCATGTAAGTGTGGCAGTTTTTACCTGTTCCCAGCAGTAAATACTGGGAGAGATTATATGTATACTGGGAGATGTAACTGTCTCTTATCATTGGAAAGAAGGTTTAATCTATGGTCATTAACATCACTCTCCTTGTTTTATGCTGTATGCATGTTTTTGTCATGAGTCTGTTTTCATGTTTGGTCCTTTCAGCAATTGTGCTTTTCATTAATCAGAGAACAGTGTAGTTAGCTGACTGTTTTCAATGTCTTGTGTGATGATACAATCTTCCATTCAGCTAAAGACTTAATATGAATTATTGATCTAATAGTGGAAAACTAGCATTGCAAAACAGAAACAATCAAAATCTAGCAAAAAAAGCTGTCACAAATATAACAACAGTGTAGTATCTTACTATAGAGGAGTCTCTTCTGACCCCTTCACGTGTTGCTCTGTAATCATGGTTGATTGAGATGCTGAAAGACAGCCACTGATAGCAGAGCCAGGACGCATGGTGAGCCTCCACTGGCTGCAAAGTGATGTGCACAGGCTTATTGAATGCTACTTAGCAACGTAAAAATAAAGGCTATTTTTGTTTGTGTTCTGGGTTTAAAATAACTTATATAAGAAGCTTTGACAAACTGGTGATACGGTCTGTATGGTTGTTCTCTTGGTTGGAAGGGAAGACTGAGGGGAAAGCATAAGTTACTATGGTCTCAGTCAACCAGTTTTCTAGTGCTATTAATGGATTTTGCTGAAATACTATAAATAGGACTTTGAAGAGTTCTAAAGCCTTTCCTTATGATTGCTTTTCTGCTTGTTTTACAGAGTCAAATGGTTTCCAAAAAGGGAGTTTGCCACCAAATATGATTTTAATGCCCTGATATGTTGACTTGCCATTAATCTTCTGCAAGCATGAGTGCTTAAATTGCATCATTTTTCTTTTCCCTTTATTTATATGCATACCTTTGGCTTTTTTTTTTCCAGGATTTACTTGGAGTAAAAGATCACTGACTTCTACAATGGAAAAATCATGGATGCTTTGGACCTTTGTTAAAAGATGGCTACTAGCTTTGGCTTCCTGGTCTTGGAGTCTCTGCCGTATTTGTCTTTTACCCCTGATAGTGACTTTCCACCTGTACGGAGGCATTATACTACTTATATTAATATTTGTATCAATAGCGGGTATATTATATAAATTCCAGGATGTGCTGCTTTACTTTCCTGAACAGCCCTCTTCATCACGCCTTTATGTTCCTATGCCTACTGGTATACCACATGAAAACATCTTCATCAAAACCAAAGATGGAGTTCTTCTCAATCTTATCCTGCTGAGATACACAGGGGACAATGCAGCTTATTCTCCAACCATCATTTACTTTCACGGCAACGCAGGCAACATCGGCCACAGGTTGCCAAATGCTTTGTTAATGCTGGTAAACCTGAAAGTAAACTTGATTCTGGTCGATTATAGAGGGTATGGAAAAAGTGAAGGAGAAGCAAGTGAAGAAGGCTTGTACTTAGATTCTGAGGCTGTGTTAGACTATGTGATGACTCGGTCCGATCTTGATAAAACAAAAATTTTTCTTTTTGGCCGTTCCTTGGGGGGAGCAGTAGCTATTCACTTGGCTTCTGAAAATTCCCATAGGATTTCTGCCATTGTGGTGGAGAACACCTTTCTTAGCATCCCTTATATGGCCAGCACTTTGTTCTCTTTCTTTCCAATGCGATATCTTCCCTTATGGTGCTACAAAAATAAATTTCTGTCCTACAGAAAAATCTCTCAGTGCAGAATGCCTTCTCTCTTCATCTCTGGGTTGTCTGACCAGTTAATTCCACCAGTTATGATGAAGCAACTTTATGAATTATCCCCAGCTCGGACTAAGAGATTGGCAATATTTCCTGATGGAACTCATAATGACACTTGGCAGTGCCAGGGTTATTTCACTGCACTTGAACAGTTCATCAAAGAAGTAATAAAGACTCACTCCCCTGAAGAAATGGCGAAAACATCATCTAACGTGACAATAATATAATTGATATTCTTCTTTGGGGTAGGGTGGGGGGAGTACCTGCACTGTACCTTGATTTGTGATAAGTGGTAAAAGAATGTCCATTTTTAAATGTATGTCATGTCTGTACTTGCCTAAAGAGTGAAATTAAACTTGGAAAGGTCTGATATTTTATTAAGGTGTTCCAGATAACTTTTACATTTGCAGCATTGTAAATGAACCATTTTATGTCTTTCTCATACTTTTTTGGTATCTCTGTCCCTAAATTCCATTTCTTTGATATGTACAACAGATGCTATTAAAGGAACTTGCTACAAAAGTAGTACAGAATGTATTAGTTTAGAACATCAGGAGGCTCTTCAGTATTCACTGCTGTATGTGTGAGCTTTTTGGACAGCCATGGTTAGCACAATGATTTGTTGCTTCTCTTAGAGTTTATTTACAGTGTGCCATGCATGAGATTAGTGTTTTATTCCTTGAAATTTTATATTATGCAAAGTGGGAAGTCTTTAATGTGCTAAATAATATAAAATAACATTAATGGTAGAGTATACATGCAGGTATACTATCCTGGGTTATTATTAGTTTTTTATGGTTATGCAAACATATATATTTCAAACTGCAACTGAAAATGAAAAAAAAAAATATTTTCCCTGTTTTCATTTTACTATTTGTATTATAATAGTGCACAGAAAGTTGTATGTGCCTAAACATCACGACTTCAGGATTTTACCGATTTTGCCATAGAAAATAGAAGTAACCTTCAGAAAGACAGCAGTGCAATCTAAGCTCCCTTCTGCCTCAAGCTTTCCTCACTGATGTACACGCAAACTATTTGTTACTGGTAATCTGCTTGTGCATTTTGAGGTGGTATTTCTCAAGGTGAAATGGGTGGTCATACGTACAAGGTAAAAGTAGGTATCTGTGTTAGTTTTTTAGGCTGGTAGTTAAATGTATGTGCCCTTTATTTATACCTCCAGAAGAAACAAATTCAAATAATAATCAGCCATCACTTGATTAGAGATGAATATATACAGTTGTTACAATAAGGATAATAAAAATGGGCAGGTAGTCTAGGCAGTGCTATTATTGAGAGTAGGAAGGCTCTGCAGATACTGACTGATCAATGGGCCAAAGCCAATGGTATGAGGTTCAACAAGGCCAAGGGCTGGGTCCTACACTTGCGTCACAACAAGCACAGGCAGCACTACAGGCTGGGGGAAGAGTGGCTTGAGAGCTCCTCAGCAGAAAGGGACTTGGGTGTGTTGGTCAACATCCAGCTAAGGATGTAAGGACATAAGGCAGTACTGTGTCTGGGTGGCCAAGAAGGCCAATGGCATCTCGGCCTGTATCAAAAATAGTGTGGCCAGCTGGACTAGGGCAATGAATGTCTGTCTGTACTTGGCACTGATGATGCCACATCTTGAGTTCTGTGTGCAGTTTTGGACCCCTCATGACAAGAAAGACATTGAGGTCCTCGAGCGTATCCAAAGAAGTGCAATGGAGCTGGGGAAGGGCCTAGAGGGCAAGTCCTATGAAGAGCAGCTGATGGAGCTGGAGTCGTTTAGTGCGGAGAAAAGAAGGCTCAGGGGAGATCTTACCGCTTTCTACTACCTGAAAGGAGGTTTTAGCAAGGTGGGTTTTGATCTCTTCTGCCATGTCTCAAGTGGAAGGACGAGAGAAAATGGCCTTAAGTTGCGTCAGGGAAGGTTCAGATTAGATATTAGAAAAATATTTTCACTGGAAGAGGTGCTAGGCCTTGCACTAAGTTGCCCAGGGAGGTGGTGGAGTCACCATCTCTGGAATTATTCAAGAACCATCTGGATGTGGCACTTGAAGATATGGTTTAGGAGTGGCTATGGTGGTCTTAGTTGATGGTTGGACTAGATGATCATGAAGGTCTTTTCCAGCCTTGATGATTCTGCAAAGACATATGCTGTTAGCTCAGTCTGTATTGGAGTATGGGAGCGATTTATATCTCTTCTGCAGGTTTAATTTCCCATCCACTGCAGCTGATTTCGCCTCTTCCAAATATTTCTTTATTGGGAAGAGCAAACTGGAAAATCTTCCACACAATCTGTATGATTGCCCTTCAGATTGAAATTTTTAAATCAACGTTTATACCATGTTGTTCTGATTCAGAAAAGCATCTCAGCACACACCTAAAATCTGTTTCCTGAGGGACAATGGTATTTTAAGCTTGTGCTTAAGTTCTTTGGTTGAATAAAACTGCTTTCCTGAACTGGTGCCTTAATGGTTATGCCTCCAAATGGAATTACAGTTCTTCTGTACACATGGATAATAGTTATCAGCAATTTGTAGATAGGGTGATACATCTTTACGTAAATGTGACCTTTTTTTTTTTTTTTTAAATTTTTAAATATATTCATACCAGAACTTGCTGCTTTCTCTGGTAAGTATGTTTTATGATACTATTATTAAGGTTTTCTTAGAGTTGATTGAAAAAAACTGTAGGTCTTTTGGGATCTATAGACCTAAAATCGTAGAGCATAGTTTTAAATCTGAGTGAAACCAAAACTGTCTTTTCAGCCTTACAGTGGTGGTGGTTTTGTTGATTTTTTTTGTGTGGGGGGGGTGGCAAGCAGGCAGGGCATGGGGGGAAGGTATATTTGAGAAGTTTGGCTGTGGGGCTGGGAGGGGAGGCAGTGTTTGTACCAGCAGAAAGGAGTTAACAGACGTAGCATTGCCTTTTCCCGATGTGAGCTGCTTGCATAGATTTTTTTTCATCTACTTCACTTTACTTTAGAATAGAGGTGGAAGGGGAGAAGGAATATCAGCAGGCAAATACTGCTTTTGTAAAAATCAGTTGATAAAACCAAAAGAATAGATTAATTGTTGGAGACAGAATGAAGAGAAAATAGTTGTTTCAGAAGGTGTCACAACTTGCCATTAAATACGATTGTGATTTTTTTCATAAAATGTCAATTTCTAAAGTAACATGGCTTTTAATCCCAGTTCCCACCAATCAAAACAAAACTCTCAACCCAAAATACCCCTCGTATTACGTAGCACTTTTGTACAAATGGAGTATTCTCATTTGGGCATACAGTTGCAAAGTCAGAGTCAAATGTGTGATGTTAGATTATGGCAATCTGAAACTGTTCAAAATGGGCTGTGTTTAAATATTACTTTTGATTATCAAGCCATATATTTTCACTATACTGTCTGGGACATAAATATGAAACTTTGTGTCTGCTTTTGCAAGTATTGAGTGTGAGAAGACACAGTTGTCATATATGCATCCTTTACACTTAATGTGGTTTCTTCCACCTGCCACATATGCATGGTTTTACTTCTCCCTTAATGGGTTGGCCACATACACTTGTGAATGAATGCTATCATGCTATTTTTTTGTTGTATTGGCTGTGAAATCCACTGAAAGAAAACAGGAAGGAAATGATGGGTTTATGCAAATATCCACTGCTGTGCATACAGTCCTTTAAGGGAGGGAGGAGGGGGAAGGAACTTGTTCTGACAAGTCAAGACTTGTTTTTATTTTATGGACTGTGTGATGTAAACCCACAGTTACCTGCTGCTAAAAACTGAACTGTAAGCAACATAGTAATAATAACTTTAAATTGCCAAAATGTGTGCTATGGTACTGTTGCATTTATTTAATGCCATTATATGTTTTCTCATAAAAGTTATCCATTTGTACATAGATATTTCTCAAGTATTTGTCCTGTACATATAAATTTCTAGTTTGGGAAAAAGTTGAGTTATTTTCATAGCTTTGTACGAAAGCATCTTGGTTTAAACATGCTCATTAAAGGAATTGTCTGTTTTATAAGAGGAAATTTAAGTTTAAAAAAAAAAAAGGAAAAACAAAGTTGAGGGGGCAGGAGTTGAACAGCTGTAGCAGTAGAGTCCTTGTAAGTAAGCATAAGACCTTGTGTGCACATGTGTGTGTTTTTAATTAGTGGAAATACTTGAGACTTCCTGCTAACCCAAGTTTACATTCCCAGTATTTGTTTCTGAACTGTGAAATGCAGAGATAAGCTGTGCTTTCTTCTGAAGACACGTTAACTGGTTTAGATGCCCTCATGTCCATTTCTCAGGTAAAATTAGAAATAGAGCACAAATGCATTTGGTAGGCTACGGACAATCTCTCAGCTGAAGGGCAGAAGGATTAACTGTTATACAAAATATGCATATCAGCATCTCTGAGCTAATCATTGGGTCACGTTGTATGTTCACAGTGAAGAATGCAAGGCTGAACTGAGAGTCCAAGGTATGGTCTCTTCTGTTAGCAAAAAGATGCAGACGTACCTCCATTTGTATTTCATAATTCGATTCTTGAAAAGTATATTTTTATTTTTGTTAATGACAGGTCATTTTGCTAGGGGCACTTCTGCCAAATATAAAATCAGTGCCTCTTGCATGTAGTGGGATCAGCCTGATGCATCCCATTAGGTATAATTTGCAATGCCATCCTGCTTGTATAATTTAAAGTAGAACCCCACAGAAGTGTAAATAGAGATAGCATATTGAAGTTCTAAATAACACTTGTGTTTTGAATTCAGAAACAGTCACTGAATATAAGATGCAAGCTTTTTATTTGATTTTTCTTTATAGTTAAGGCAAAATTGTCTTAAAGTATTCTTAAGTTTTGTAGACAAAGCATAAATGTTACTGTATATGTGCTAATTGTGGCAAAGTTTTACATTCTCATTCTAGTCTGGTTTTTACAATAAAGTTAATTTTACAAAAAACACTTTTCTATTTTTATGTACTGACATATGCAATAAATTGATACATTAAAAGTGCTGTTAATGTCTTGTTCTAGTCTGTGGCCTTTCTTCAGTGTGTGCAAAGGGGTAGTTGTGTGTGTATGGTAACAAGTCAACCCCAAGGTATTGTTTTCAGTTTCTAAAGCCAGAGCACATGGACTAGACGTCTGCATTATTAGTTGTGGCATTTGTAGAAAGCTGTTATGGCAGGGGAAAAAGCATATTGCAAATACATGTTTCTAAGCTTTGTCATGTATACTCACTTCCAGGAAGTGTTAATAAGTAAAACTGGTATGCAGTAGCTCTGCATTGCTTTCTAACACAGTTTGCATTTCAAAATTTCTCACTTGCCTGGGGGACTAAGAGATGATCTAAATATGATGTCCATTAGGAAGTATTTTGATGTGTTCCTGACTGGTTTTACCACCTCATGCTGGCAAAATTTCAAATGTCAATTTTAAATCCTATAATGCCATTCTAGCAGGTTTATAGTTAATTCACGTAGCTGCAGTGGGATATTGAAGCAACTTATACTTTCTTATACAGAAATGTATAACTAAGCTTGTATCACCCCTGCTGCCATTCTGCATAGCTTATATGAAATACCCAGAAAATAAGGATTCTTTTCTAAGGCTGCAAAATGTTTGTCCTCTCCTGACTACTGCAAGGCTTATAGTTAATTTTTAACCCACTACCTAGTAAATGGGGGTGTGATTGGGTGGTGTAGGTGTGGTATATTTGGACACTTTGTTCAAGATACCTGTTAATTTTGAATGAAAAAACCAGATTTTTTCTGATTTTTGTAAAGGAAGAAATGGAAGTGCAGGAGCAACTCAGATTTGTGTAGTCCATGTGAATACTGCCCTTCTTGAATGAGAAGCAGGTTGCTGTCTTGTGAACTATGTCACTAAAACTTACCTGCACAGTGCTACTCCGGAGAACACAAGTCTTGCTCTTGATTCCTTAGCACAGGAAGGACATCGAGCTGTCGAAGAGAGTTTGGAGGAGAGCCACCAAGTTGATTAGGGGGATGGAGCACCTCTCCTGTGAGGAAAGGATGGGAGAATTGGGTTTGTCCAGCCTGGAAAAGAGAAGGCTTAGGGGTGACCTAATTGCAGCCTTCCAGTACCTGAAAGGAGCCTACAAGAAAGATAGAGAGGAACTTTTTACAAGAGCATCTAGTGATAGGACAAGGGGGAATGGCTTAAAATTGAAAGAGAGTAGGTTTAGATTAGATATTAGGAGGAAGTTCTTTGCTGTGATAGTGGTGAGGCACTGGAACAGATTACCCAGAGAAATTCCATTCCTGAAAGTGTTCAAGGCCAGGGTGGATGAAGCTCTGAGCAACCTGATCTAGTGAATGGCAAGAGGGTTGGAACTAGATGATCTTTAAGGTCCTTTCCAACCGGACCATTCTATGATTCTATGAAATGAAACATAAACCAAAGGCAGGGGCCTTGCTGTCTGTTAAAAAGATCAAGTACAAGTAGATAAAGTTTTGAGAAAATACCATTGGCTAAAAAAAAATTATTTGCTCCAAAGATATTGAACATGTCTGAGCTTTTAAATGTTTTGTTGGACCCTATTCAGGGTCTTCATTTTAGACTTTGTACAGAGTTCTGTCTCTGTAAGTAGATAAGGAAGATACACTGATTATTTTCTGGAATTGTTTTGAAAACATTGATGTGATTAATTTGTTATGCTTCAGCTTGGATGGAGGCAGAATAACTCTCGTAAGCCTTGGAAAAACAGCAATTTTTCTTTCTCTGAAAGCAATACAGCTAAAGAGCAGACTTGGTTTTACTGTATTACGGACCGTGGTTTCACTCCTAATTGGAGATACATATGTAATAATCTGAAGCAATGAGCTGAATAATGCAAAACTGCAAGATGGCTGACAGAAATATATGTTCACATACCAGGTTTAGAGAGCTGTTGCCTCTAGTTTTGACAAGCAACTAAGGAATGGATTTTGCTTCTTGAAGACAGAAAGGAAGGAAGTTCTACAGCTGGTTTGCATTACACTTAATGTCTGGTGTGGGCTAATTATTTACAAAAATTCAAAGGGAAAGGTCAGGCAGAAAACCCTTTCTGTCCTTTAGGACTCAGGAACAGTGTACTAATCAGATATAGCTACGAAGAAATAACATTATGATTTGAAAATACTTGGACCCTTGTCCTGTGCCCTCTACTGAAGGTCTCCAGAGTGTAGCAGCAGCAGAATGGCCACTCCCACATGAAAGGCCATGGGTCTGTGTTTATTTTGTTACCATACAAATGAATTTGTAGCCCATCTGTGCAAAAGCAGTCGAGTTGCACAGTATCAAAGAGGTGGAGAAATGCAGTACTCGGTGCTACTGGATAGCAAAGCCAGTGAGACTGTAAGAGAAGTGAACTACAGCTGTATGACAGAGCTCGTTTTTCCCTGGGCAGTAAGAAGGAATTGCTATAACATCACGGGGTTGGAGGGGTGGAAGGGATGGAGGCTGTTATTAAGCTGCTGTAGTATATAAATCATGTGTTTTCTTTTTATATTTTATATGGTTTTAAAATTATTTTCTATGTCTTGTTGGCTCTTCTGCATACTTTGAAAGACACCTATAATAATTGCTTTTCCTTCCTGTGTCATTTCCTATTC